TTACATTTAAAGTAAATGTTTTAACTTCAAAATTATTGACTGCACTACTATTTGCATTTCTGAAACAAAGCATGGATTATAATCTTTTATCATTCTCGATATAGCTAGGCTTAATTGGTTGAAGGATTCCATTCTAAAGGTCTTTTCGGGTAGAAGATTCGGTACTAGGTTGGAGCTGAATAAATCCCTTATTGTTTTGTATGTGCTAATGTCTTTGGTGGATTTATCCGAATATTTGAAAAGAGGTGTGATTCTCTGTTTATTCTTGAGGGACGAAATGGAGATGGGCCGGGATAAATCTATTTCTTACGGGGATTACAAAAGCAAGTACTTTGATGAAACCATTTGTCCCCAAAAAAGTTGCGATTAAACGTGATTCGGGTGATGTCTTTGCAACATTGTTGAGCCAACGAGATAGGTTGATAGAGCCTCCACTTGTGGACTTTGGGGTTGTTTCCTCGGACAAAGTGTCATCTTCTACAGACACAGAATCAATATCCTCTTTAATATTCAAAGAAGATTTGCATTATTTTGGCTTATTTCTGAATCGGATAACATTTCTAGGAGTGCTGTTGTGAATCAAGATACTTCATAGGGGACTTTAACTTTTGAAATTAAGGAGATAGAGGTGACAAATATCCTTGAAAATACTACTCTTCGAGTTTCTTTTTCACCACACACTGAACCTCTATTGGTGGATGGATTGATTTCTCCTCAAACTGAAATTTTGGAACCTAATGCTTCGGGTGGAAAAGGTATTGATGTTACGCTTGTTCAAAGGATACGTTCTGATCGTGAGCTACTAGACCGCGTTGCTAATACTAAATGGGACTCAGCTAGCTCTAGATTGCTACCTCAAAAGAGTGCTCGTCTCAAGGCAAAAAAATTGGCTGAAACATAGGGTCGCTTCTATATTTACAGAATTAGCTTATTGATATTTTGGGAATTTCATCTCTTTCGGGCAACTCAATTCATTTCGACGAGAAGCTAATCGTTTTACTTTAGGGATTTGAATGGTGGTCGGTTTGACGGCCGTTTTGGGTCGTTCACTCATTAGCGATTTTATTTCACTAGTTTTTTTTTGTTTCACTAGCTTTCATCCATCATCATTTTGTACTCTTCTTAATAAAAAATTTAATAAATTTTGTGCTTAAAAAATTGGCAGGTTCAATGAAAATTTTGGCATTGTGAAGAGTAATAATGTCAATTTATTGGCATTTTCAGAAAAATAAAATGGCATTTTTTACAAAAAAAAAGGCAGAATTCTCACCGATAGGAGGTTGTGGTGCCGGGAGGCGGTGGGAAAGGTATCCATATTTTTTATGGGTTTTTACTATTTCTTATTGGGAAAACTACCAAATAAGTCCTCGAACTTTCATAAAAAGTGCAAGTAAGCCGTTTTATAGGAGGCTCTGTCTAGTCGTCTCCATTTGGGTCGGTTTCCGGTGGAATTTTTTGATGATTTTCTTTAGCATCTTCTTCATTAAGTCTAGCTTACTCATACCAAATTTCATATAAAAATTCAATTGGGAAAGAAGTCAAATGAATTTTTAAAGATAACTGCGCAGTTAGGCAGCGCAAAATATTTGTACATTTTAGGTAAACTTTAGTCTTATTTAGGTTTTTTTTCATAAAAGAGCGGCTGTTATATTAAAATCGAGAACACATACAAGATAATGTTCAAACAGAAATTATAGATCCAATCGTGAACCCTAGGAGTAGACTTAGAGTCATCCACCTCACACAAATCAACATGACTAGCTAAATCTGAAACGAGCAAATTTAGGCCTAAAACATGCCTATCAAAAGAACTCCAAAAATCCAAACATTCAAACCAAATCTACTCGGACTAAAACAGAAACAATTGCTACTAAAAAGAAAATAATACTGAAATCAAATCTTTCCACAAAGCTTTTCCTGATATGGAGGTGGTCCCTGAGGAGGATGAACTCTTGCAATATGGGTGAATACCAACTCCACCATCGTCGGAATGACCAATCAAGGCTTCACGATTCAGTCTCGATACAACCTCCCAGTCACACCTCGTTCATTTGTCAACGCTATCTCCTCCGACGTAGTTGCAATCCAAAGCGTTAGAACACTTAAAATCAGTATAATATGCCGCTCCAACCTCATGTTGATAGGAGCGGCGGAAAATCCTAACCCCTACAAAGAGGAGAGAAGGCCGCTAGGGTTCTTCCCTCTAGAGAGAAGAAAGGCAAACGTTTGGAGGCTGTAGATAACAAAACACAAAGTTTGTAAATGATGTTTTTTATAAATACTTTTAATCTAAAAAAAATAAGATGATATATTAAATTTTGTCTCCTACTATTTAAAATTCAAGTCACAATCTTGCTAATCATAGATTTATGGCTGAGTCCCTGCCCACTCAAAGAGTCAAAGGAGTACAAAACAAATTGCGGGTGGAGCAACAATTGATGCATTTGGAAAGTGATTCGACAGTTGGTTAGTCTTCCTCATCAACAGAAAACAAAATAAATCGGGAAACATGTTTCTTTTGTTTGTCCTTTTCATTTAGTTTTTCTTTCTTCCTTTTTCTCCATTCTACAGGATCAAAAGAAGCTAATTTTAAAAAGATTGGATCTAAAGAAATCCGAATTTTGTTAATTGGAACCTAGAAATGATAAGTATTGATAGATTATTTGTTGAAAGTTAATTGTTTAGAGTTCATTTCAGTCAAATTTACAACAAAAGCATGTGTTGAAGTTTGATTTTTTGGACAAGAAGAAAGAAATTGAGGAGGAGAAGACACGGAAAAATGGAGAGGAAAGGAACGTGGGAAAGGAAACAGGGAAAATTGAAGGGGAGAATAGGGGATATAAGGTAGATAGGGGAAAAGAAACAGAAAGAAAGAAAGGAAGGAAAAAAATAGAGAAAAAAAAAGAAAGGGAAAAATTGTATCCAAATATATATTCCCTCCATCCCGAAATAAATGTTTTGCTTTTCAAAAATGGATGTCCCAAAATAATTGTCCTACTTTGAAACTTTCTTTATTTGGTAAACAAAAAAAGTGTCAAACAATGTCAATCTTTGGTAAACTTTCCATTTTTTTCCTTATTTGATAGACAAATCTATACAAAACAGTGTCAATGCAAAACAATGTCAAACAATGTCGCTACAGTGTCAAACAGTGTCGCTACAGACCCGATTATACAAAGTAGTCATTTTTTGACGTTTATCCACTTTAAGTAACAAAATTTGTATATTCACCATCTCTACAATTTTGCACCAAAAAGTAAATTTTGGTCATCCATCTCTACAATTTTCTCTTAGCTTCTACCTAAGACTACATATGTCCATATATCCACTTTAAGTAACAAAATTTGTATATTCAATAGACGTTTAAATAAATAATTAAAGAAATTATTCAATTGACCAAATTTGATTATTAAGATATCCTTAAAAACTTCTTTAAATAAATAATTCAAGCTACTATTCAGTTGACCAAATTTGCTTATTTAGATATCTTTAAAATCTTTACGATAGGCGGCGACACTATCCAAGTTTTTGGTATATCAGGTTTGAAATTGCATCATTTGAATACCAATAATATGTAGGCTGATAGAGTGATGTGGTAAACGCGTGACACTCAATAATATCATTTAATAATCGCATTATTTTTATACCAATTTTAAAAAAATCGGTATCTAATTTTATTTTTCTGTTGTTTGTAAAACTTCATCATAATGACTTAGTTTTGAAATTGCTCAATATAAGACTAAATCACAGACAAAATCCTAAAATAGAACCAAGTGTGTTTTATTTCTTTAATGAGACTTACGTAATATTTAATTACTACATTTGTTCTTAAATAAGTGCAATAGTTAACTTTGATTGCTAATATTACAACTATCTATTAGTAAAAAATTAGAGAAAAATAGTTTTTGAAAATTTACAATGAGAGGAATTTAATGATATTTTTATCAAAATAATTTATTAATACATTCACAAATAAAACGTAGTCAAAATAGAACACGTGAAGATTATAAAATTCAACATGATGCACTCATATAAGAACAGAGTGAGTATATTAAAAGAATAAGTTGTTTTTAACATCTCAAAATATGAGTGAATAAATCATTTTCTGAGCAGATAGTATTTCTATTTAGCAACATGCTTATCTTAATCCTATGATAATTTTGTTTGACTAACTTTGTGCAGTTCGTATACTGTGGTTTCGGGACACGGTGAGCATCCTGCTCCCAGAGCTCTTTTTTAATTTCAAAGGCACGGCTGATGTAACTCATGTTTAAAAGAATGTAACTGATGTTGAAAAGAAATGTAACTTACGTGTAAGTAGGGTGTAACTTGTTGAGAAAAATTGACAAGTAACTCTTGTGTTACAATATGTAATTTTAGCCAAACTGAAATGTAACTCTGGTGTATATGAAATGTAACTTGAGTTGAAATCAAAAAATAAGCACACAAGTAACTTGAGCCCCAAATATAATCAAAATAACCAAGTGGAAGAGACCAGTAAGCATTTTCCTCAGATTTTCAATTAATCGTCGATATGACTTATTGTATTTGTATTGAATCTGAGCATGGACTAGATGATTGGGATCGGAGATTCATAGGGTTTGCTGTTATGCTGGTTTTTCAACACATGGAGTATTTTTCCTCTTGAAGTGGCGAGCAGAAATTGACCAGAGAAAGGAAACCTATTGTTTCGAAGCAGAGCATATGCACAGCACCGAAGCAATTCCAGATGCAGAACTAGCGGGGTTAAGGAGTGAAGGAAGCGCAGAGGCGGAGTAAAGAAACCTGTTATTTCATCGCTCCAGGCAGATGCACAATTACAGAGTCAGTGGGAACGAAGCGCAAGGAAGGTATTGTATTTTTTTTATCAAAAAACGACACCGTTTTGGGATCGGCACACCATGCGAATGGTGGGTCAATCCCACCTTATAATCTGTGAACTTTGTGGGATTGTATCATTGGAGTAAGTATATATAGCAAAGCTCTGCTCCTTCTGCCATAAACCATTAAACCATTAAACATGGCCTATAATCATAACCTTTCTTTTCTTTGTGTCGTCGTTTGTTTGGTGTTGGGCGGCTTTCATTATTCTGCCGCCAGAAGTGATTACGAAGATACTTACATTGTTCATGTAAAGCCATTCACGGCGGCGGCCGCCAATGGCCGCCGGTTCACCACCCTTCACCATTACCATCAATCATTTGTTTCGGATCTCACTCCCAGCACCGCTGCCAGCGGAGCAGAGTCGCCGCCGCCGCCTTCTCCCAGAATACTACACTCATATCGCCATGTGATCTCTGGGTTTGCGGCAAAGCTGACGCCGGGGATGGTGAAGGAAATGAGCCGTAAGGAAGGGTTCGTCTCGGCGAAGCCGCAGAAAGTGTACCAATTGCACACCACCCATACGCCGGAGTTCTTGGGCCTCCTCCGGCAAGACGGCGGCGGGCTCTGGGAAAAGTGGGGAAATTATGGGAAGGGCGTGATAATAGGGGTTTTAGACACCGGGATCACCCCAGCCCATCTCTCTTTTTCCGACGAAGGCATGTCGCCTCCTCCGCCGAAGTGGAAGGGGAAATGCGAGTTTAACGGAACGGCGGCGGCGTGCAACAAGAAACTGATAGGTGCAAGAAACTACATGGTCATCGGGTCCTCCGTTGACGAAGAAGGGCACGGCACACACACCTCCAGCACAGCCGCCGGAAACTTCGTCAAGGATGCTTCGACCCTGCTCGGGAACGCGAAAGGAACGGCTTCTGGAATGGCACCGCAGGCTCACGTGGCGATGTACAAGGTTTGTGGCTCTGTTGGATGTGTAGGCTCCGCCATACTGGCTGGAGTAGACGACGCCATTGAGGATGGCGTTGACGTGCTCTCTGTCTCTCTCGGAGCTCCAGCTGGTCTCGCTTTCTTTGAGGACGTCCTCGCCATAGTTGGCTTCGCAGCAACGAGGAAAGGCATTTTTGTGAGCTGTTCCGCCGGCAATTCCGGCCCCAGTCCACAGACAGTGTCAAATGCGGCTCCCTGGTTTCTCACGGTAGCGGCGAGCACAATTGACAGACGCATCAAGGCCACCCTCGTTCTCGGGAACGAGGTCGAACTAGAGGGCGAATCAGCTGCTCAGGTTGATTCGCCCATGCCTTCCCTGCCTCTCGTATACCCTGGTGCCATTTCGAAATCAAACAGAACTGCCGCTGCTTTCTGTGGGTCGCTGAATGGAACCGACGTCAAGGGAAAGGTGGTGTTGTGTGATCGAGGAGGTGACATCGGAAGAGTTCAAAAGGGGGAAATCGTGAAAGCTGCTGGTGGGGCTGCCATGGTTCTTGCAAATGATGAACCCAATGGGTACTCACTGTGGGTTGATGCTCATGTACTCCCAGCAACTCACATTAGTTACAATGCTGGGTTGAAGGTGAAAGCCTATATAAATTCCACCTCGGCGCCTACTGCTACTATTGAATTCAAAGGCACTGTTTTGGGGGAGAAAGATGCGCCTCAAGTCGCAGATTTCTCCTCCCGAGGGCCTTGCATTGCAACCCCGGGAATCCTCAAGCCAGACGTTATTGGACCCGGGGTCAACATTGTTGCTGCGTGGCCCGTTTCAGTACTTGATGGGAATGAGATTGGGACGAATAGTTCAAAATCTTCAAATTTTAACATGATTTCCGGAACCTCAATGGCATGTCCTCATCTTAGTGGGATTGCGGCCTTGCTGAAGAATGCACACCCGACATGGTCACCCGCTGCAATAAAATCCGCTATTATGACCACAACCTATCAAGATGACCTCAACGGTAGTAAGATCGTTAGTGATAAAACGTTGGCCGCCGCTGATTTCTTCGCCATGGGCGCGGGCCATGTTAACCCCGAAAGAGCAAACGATCCCGGGCTAGTCTATGACTTACAAACTAACGATTACATTCCTTACCTATGTGGTCTCAATTACACGGATCAGCAGGTTCAAATGATTGTGCACGAGAATGTTAGCTGCTCATATTTTGGCCGCATACCCGAGGCACAACTGAACTACCCGTCCTTCGCTATCCACATCGGGAAGTCGAAGTTAACATATTCTAGGACAGTCACCAATGTTGGAGATGCAAAGTCTAAATACATCGCTAAAATCACTCCCATCCCAGGAGTTGATGTTCAGGTTGAGCCACAAACTCTTATCTTTGGCGAGGTGAACCAGAAAATATCTTACAATATTACCTTTACCCCAACTTCTAAACTATTCAACAATAATGATAATAAGAGTGTTCAAGGCGCCATCTCTTGGGTCTCCGAGAAGAACACTGTCAGAAGTCCGATTGTTGTGTCACCATTATCTGGATTACAAAGTAGCATCAATCATGAAGAAGTTGGGATAGCAGTGGAATGATTAGTTGTCATTGGTAAACTATATATTTTCGTAGCTAGCTTGCCAAAAATTTGGGTGTTTGTTGAATGTTTTCATTACTATTTTATTAAGCTAAGTTTTCATTTGGTTTGGTTAAGTAAGATTTAGTATTGTCTTTCATATAATCCCTGGACAATAAAGCATTCTGGACTGTTTATGCTTTTATCTAGTACTTCATCCTTTCTTTCGACTTTTACTTTTTCTAATTACATGAGGGGGGTTCAATTTTCTCAAAATTTTCATCCATAGTGATTCCTACTCTTTTATATAAATGGATTAACGATGTTTGGTCTAATCGAGATTTTCTATTGAATTGGGTGATAGTAGAGCTATGTTATTTTCGAACAATGGTTTCAATGTTATTCTTACAATTCAAAAATAATGCTCATACTCTTGTTAGGACATCTGTTACTAATAGCACTAAAGTTGTGTGTGCCACAAATATTTCTCTTTTATGAAATTGTAATCAAAGAGGGGTTTTAAGATCGTTTGATTTAATATTTAAACACCAAGATGAATGACATATACGAAGTATATAGTTTAATTTAATGAGATAAAAGATTTGGTTTTGCTACTTTCCACTTGTTGATATGTTTGTCGATCCCGATTATATCTTTAACTTATTCCCTCTCGAATACTCAATCGAGGAATATATCCAATTTATCGAGGGTAGTTATTAATCATATATGAAACCGTTCATTAGCAACCCTTACTATTAGCCAAATATAGAACACCGTCATATACCGACTTTATAGTAGCATTTAATCTCTTAACTCCTTGATGAAATTAATTGAGATTGATAACCTCAACACAACGGTTTCGGTTTAACCAACACAATTAATCTCTCTTAATATTACTAACCATGAGACCATGCATTAATAACATGAAGTTACTTACTTGTGAAACTATCAATGATTAATCAGCAGTTCATTGATCATTTCTAGTAGTAATTAACGTCGAAGCGTTAACTAATCACCACTTAGCAACACCCCAACATTAATATGGAGATAGATTAAGGGAAGAATTAATAATCAAGAGAAGAAGTTAAGAAAATAACTCACAACTTTAACATTCAACAAACTTCAAGAGCAAAACCAAGAATAAAAGAATTTAGTTCCTCATTTAGAAACTAAACATGAAAGAAATATAAAGCTATGTTTGGCAGGCACATTCAGCTCATTAAGGGCTGAAATTTCTTAATTTCAGTCATTAATTATGTAAGTACCCTGTTTGGATAAAAGGTTGAACCAAGCTAAAGCTAAAAATAATGATCTCATTACAAACGTTGCGGAGGCTAGCGTTTCTATTCGGCCTACCGCTCAAAACCCTTCGATGCCTAAATTATCATTATCCCTGCAAAATTCTTCATTCAACTAGGCATGTCAATGGGTTGGGTCTAGATCCGAACTCGGTTATTTTTAATGGGTATGAGTCTATATTTTATTCCGTTTACCCGGAGCCGGAGCCGGACCCGTTAGTGTTTTTAATAAACGGGTCGGATATGGTACATATGATTCCGACCTGTTATGGACTCCAACCCGTTTAAAATTCTTATTAGTATATATGTACACACACTTTATGATACTTCAAATAAAAAAATACAAACTAATACACACACACGTATATATACATATTAATACATAAGGGTATTAGTTGTAATTTTTCAGTTAAAAAAATACACACTAATACATACCTATTGTATAAGTGATAATCATCGAGATAGTTAGATACCCTAAAACTAGTATCAATTTTGACTGTTTATGCGTACTGATAAAGTGTATATTGGGCTCGGTAGGCAAAACCCAATATTTATTATTAATAATAATATTATATCATTATCATATATAATATGCTTTTAGACTCTTATAAGTCTTTTTTTAATACTCCAAGGGGTCCGGGGGAAGGGGGCTTGGGGGGCCTAGAGTAATCAGGGCTTGAAACTCACTCCATTGAGTTTTAAACCCTTGTGTGCCTAGCGAGTTTCGAACTCGAGACCTCCCACTAGGCACGGTAACCTCACAACCAGCTGGACTGGAATTCTTGGTTAGACTCTTAATAGTCCAAAAGACATTTTTGTGACTTAATTTCTACTCTATTCTACGAGCTTTCTCTGCAAGAGAGAGACACAAAGTGTGGAGTTATACGTCTCTACAAGAACCGATATTTTATTGGATAAAAGTACTACGTAGTAATTTTCTTTGACAAACCTTAAATTTTTTGAAAAGTGAAAATATATATTTCTTTTAAGTTTGCGCATTTTGCTTTATATTTCATGTTTTGTTATTTTCACACAGTTTTTAATGTTGTGTATATCATAATTGGCGAGTCTACCCGACCTGGTTTCGATATTTGTTTGGTCTGGGTCTGCGTCCAAACTTTCAGACCCGTCGGGTATACGAGTCTGATCTGGGTCTTTTATTAATTTAGTGGGTTCGGGTCTGGAACACTACGTTCCAGCTCGAATCCGACCCATTGACAAGCCTACATTCAACCTTATCACCCAAAATTGTTTGGATTTAATTTGTTTTCAGTCTCCGAAAAATTCTCCATAGGCAGCACCGCAACGCTAATTAGGGACTTCGGGTACCGCAGATTAGGGGTGGGCACGGTCCGGGTTGGTCCGGGTAATTGATAAATTTTCAAGAACCGTCGGTTCCATTTAACGGGTAGGTTCGGTCCGGGTATAGCAAGTTTCGAAATAGGAACCGCACATTACCCATCCCGTTTGAAACGGGCCGGTTCGGTCCGAGTCCTCGGTTCTTCTTTTGTAAAAAAAATACGGCTATGTAAGCAAAGTTTCTAGTAAGTTATAAAATTCTCAAATTAATTACCTATTAATGTAACCAAAATATAATAAAAATTCAAAATATAAGTATAAGACAATTTTAAATTAGTTAACAAAATATCGAATCACAAATCTATAAATTAAACAACACACAACCACCTTAAACAACACACACCATAAATTCATAAGAAATTAAACTAGTTAATATACATATTTGTCTACGAAAATAATTTAAAACTTACTAAATCTCCAAGTATAAGTAAAATTAAGATAATTAAATGAATATGTCACACTTCATAGAGGAAAATAATTTTAGAGTTTAATTATAAGGACTTAGAAATTATTTTTAGTAGAGTGAAAAGTTTCTTTAATTGGAAGTTTTTGTCTAAACACAAGAACATGAAGAGCTTTCATGTCTTGATAGTATATTATATTATACTAATATTAAATATAATAGCGATTATTAAAATAATATTTTAAAACGGTTCGGTTCGGGTACCCGTTTTTTCAAATTTTAAGACCCGTTCGGTTCCTAAGTTTTTCAGGACCCGTCCCGCCCCGAACCGTTTGGGTTTTCTAAAATTAGGACCCAACCCTAACCCGCCCCGAACCAATATTACCCGGCTCGACCCGCGGTTCCAGTACACATTTGCCTACCCCTACCGCATACTACACTAACAAGAAAATTCTCCAGAGGCATCACCAACAAGGGTGTTCCAAGGGAGTTAATTATCTTCCTCAAGCTTTATGACCTAGGCTCATGCCTTTACTAATTTGAATTCTTGAAACAATAATCTCATTCTTGCTCTCATGTTAGCATGTTTTTATTTGGATTGTTTTCAGTTCCAGATTACACCAGACCAGACTTAAACAGACCAGACGAGATAGACTAGACTTCTGTAGTAATAAAATGCATAGAGACCAGACGTTTATCAGACCAGTTCAGACCAGACCAGACTTAAACAGACCAGATCAGACCAGACTAGACTTAAACAGACCAGACCAGATCAGACCAGCAAATTACAGTCCAAGTAAAAATATCCTTATGCCCCTATTCTCTATTCAACCCTTCATCATTATTTTCAGAAACCCATCATTATTAAAAAACTACAACTGTAATATACCAATATTTATTAAAATATAAAAAATATCAGTATTATTACAATAATTATACAAATATCATAATATTATAATAAATATTTTCACTTAATATACTATATGTCCTTTAATGCAATTTTGATATTTCTAGTCACAAATTCAGCCATTTTTGCCAAACAAGTCTAATTAATACTTTAGATTGAGTTTAAAGTATATGTGTATTGATGTGTCAAACATAACAAAAGAAAACACTATTCTAGATTGAGTTTAAAGTATATGTGTATTGATGATTTTATTGAGAAGGAAAAGGTGTGTATTTACAAGTATTTGGAAGTGGCGGGGTCTGATATCTGATCAGTTATAGAGTACCCAATCAGGTACCTTAGGCAGTTTCCCGAAAGGTGCAGTGTAAAATTGCATCATACCCGACCGGGTATGTCGGTCTATCAGATCGGGTATGAGACAAATCTTGCTGGAAATATCTCCCACGATGCTTTGTTTTTCGGATTTGATTTTTACACAAGACCGAGTATTGCATATGTCTGACCGGGTACATGACAAAATTTTCGAATCTTCATTTTAATTTGTCTTGTCCCTTTGCATTTTTCTTGATCTTTTGGAATCCATTTTTAATCTTTTGGATGACTTTGACATGTTATAAGCTCAGAATAGTTCTAAACTAAACAAATTACAAGAATCGAAAACTAAATTTTTACACAAAAAGTGTGTAATTTCCATAACAACAAGCAACAAAAACTAAATAAAAATGCAAACATACAAACAGAAATTACAACAATATGAATTGTGTAGTAGTTTTTAATTGTAAATGACTTGTATTAAAATACTAGAATTTAAGCAAGCTATCAAGACAAAAGTCACATCCTGGTCAGTAGCTCTTGAACCAGACTTAGAGTTAATCATCTTTAAAAGAGCAATATAACCCGGTTATCCTAAAATGGACACAATTGAGCCAAAAGTGATCGAAAAAGACCCTCATTACCAACCCTAATTTGCATTATTCTAAAGGAGATAGAAAAAAATACAAGCAAAACAAAGCTCGTCTAGAAAAAAACTACAAAAAATACCAACTAGAATTAACGTACCCTCATAGAACAACGAGCAACTTGGAACTACAGTTTGAGAGAGAGAGAGACACCAAGGCGGGCATGTATATATCCCGAGACCGCCTTTTTCTCGTTCTTTGGTGCATCTAGCCCTTTGCCTGCTTTTTCAAACACTAGGCTTTCTTCCTTCTTCGTCACCCTACTTGTTTTAGGCAG